CACACACACACACACACACACACACACACACACACACACACACACACTATCTTATTAAATCTATGCTCTATGTGTTGACACACAGACCCCCCCCACATACACACAGCCTCATGCTACTCACCTGGAGTTGAGGTCAGCTTGCCCCGCCCCCGCTGCTCCTCCTCCACTCCCTCCGCGGCTCTTCTCCAGGCCCAGCTTGGTGAAGATGCCCACCAGCACCATGATGGCCACCACGCCGCAGATGATGTAGACGATGAGGTGCGTGCGGTCCCGGTCCTGGTCGTCCTGGCCCTCGGTGATGGTGGCCACAGGCTTGCCGGTGTTGGCCCAGATGGGCGTGTCGTAGTTGGAGCAGATGTTCTGGTCCAGCCGCTGCTGCCGGAACCCGCAGCAGAAGCGGTAGAAGCAGGTGCCGCAGCAGAACAGAAAGACGCCGGCGTTGCAGTTGAACGGCGGGTCCCATTGGCCCATCACGTCATAGTAACCCTGGCAACGGGTCCCGCCGTTGGGAAGGACGTCCTCATCGTCCGCATCCCCGCCGCTGCTGGGAGTGGACCCCCCTGTCTCCAGAGGAGAGTTCTGAGTGGTCTCCACGTAGCTCGGAGTCGTCTGGTTGGCCACCGTGGTGGGGACGATTAACAAGTCGCCTTCGGTTACCGTCACCGTGGTGACGGATGGGTCCTGGGTGAGGGCAGGATGAGTTATGATGAAGGAGAAGAGGAAGAAGAGGAGAAGGTGGCAGGAGGAACGGTTGGTGTCCGCCATACTGCCGGTAGAGCCCTACTGTCCAACCTCCCACCTGCAGGCTCTGGACGGGAAACAGAGAAGTTTGGAGACAAAGAAGAGATGAAGAAAATTAATTTCAGATGCATTTATTTTACTGTTATAAGGGTAGAAGTTATTTCATTATGATAATTCAAAACAATCTTGAGTTTTGGAGATGCACTTACGCCGAGAACGCACGAACGAAAACAAGCAAACAGATTTACTGCACTTTATGTAGAAACTCAGACAAAATGGATTTTTAGCCAGAATCATTAAACAAACGATGTTTCCATTGATCTTACAAGCTTATTGAGTCGATAATGAAAAGAGGGTAGAGGACGTTTTAAACAGGTCAGTCAGAATCCCTATTGGGGACTGTTACCATACAGTGAGACGTGATCAATGCCCAACCTTTCAGATTCAAAAGAGCAGCTCATTGCAAATGAAATGTCCAGAATCGGCTGTCTTCTAAAAAATGATTTAGTCGATTATTTGCGCTTTAAGTGAGAAACCAAATCATGGAAAAGTAAGCGTCAAAAACAGCCCAACATGCTTTTACCTTCAAAATAAGTGATCACAATTCCTTATTTTCTTTTGAAATAGTGCCATACATAAACAACAACTTAAAGTCATTGAGGATTTTGTGTTGAAAATCACCGAATGCGTTCTCACCGTTTTCTCTTTGCAATCTGCACACAGCCGTCCGTCCTCTGCGGCTCTTCCCCAAAGTTCAAGGGCTAATAATTCCCTCTAGAAATATCCACAAACTTTACTCAGCAGCATTTTTTCCCCTGAGTGCCCCCGCAGATCTCTCTCTCTTCCTCATGTGTTCTCCATCGTCAGCTGGGGGCTCGATCCGGGGGATTCAACAAACACAAAACGACAAGCTCCTCTTATCCTCTTTTTTTCTTCTTCTTCACTTCTTCTTTAAGCGCTACTCAGTCTGCGCTGGCAGGCGTACGTCCAGACTGGTCCAGGACTGTTAGGATCTTCTGCTGCCAAGACCCCTGTGTGCGCGTGCGTGTGTGTGTGATAAAAATTGAATAAGAGAGAGAGTATGTTTGTGTGTGTGTGTGTGTGTGTGTGTGTGTGTGTGTGTGTGTGTGTGTGTGTGTGTGTGCGTGTGGCTGCATTGAGCGCTGCAACAGTTCAGGAACCAAATGAGATCTCCTCCTCTGTTTACCTCTCCTCAGTGTCAGATAGGATTGGGAGAGTAAAAGAGAGAGAGAGAGAGAGAGAGAGAGAGAGAGAGAGAGTGTGGGAGGGGGGGAGTTATATCCAGCTGCATCTCCCATCATCCCCAGAGGAGAAAAAAAATGGGGAGGAGAGAGATGGGGGTACAAAAAGCTGAATGTGGACTGTAACTGAGTGATAGAGTATAGGTCTAATAAATGTAAGTCAATGTAATGTCCCCAAAAGTTATGAAAACACGGCTGTTTTGTGTGTGTGTGTGTGTGTGTGTGTGTGTGTGTGTGTGTGTGTGTGT